TGTGTGTGCGTGCCTTCGACCCGTGACCTCATCGTGTCCTCGGCAGCCGGACGATGAGAACAAAGTCTCGTGTCATCGTCTTCTCCTCGGGTGGCCTGAAAGTCTCTGGAGGCCTCAGTCAGTCAGTCAGTGAGGTTCAGGGTCTACAGCTGAAAACTAAAAACGAACAAACAAAAACGGGGTCCGCGTGTCAGAGACTGGAGCCGTTCAGGAGGCACACCTCTTCCTCCTCCTCCTCCTCCTCCTCCTCGTTGCCCCCTCCACCCCAGCCGTCCTGGAAAGAGCGGATCAGTTGAACATGATGGACTCTGGATCCTGATTTGCCATTTGAGCCATGTGACGAAGGATATCTTTTTTTGTGATAATACCAAGAAGCCGCCTGCAGAGGGAGACAAAGAGGGACAGAAGCATGAGGAGGTGGTGGCGGCGGTGTTGGTGGTTGGCAGCTCAAGTAAAGCAGGAAACAATAAAAACATCATGTTTTTGTTGGCAAAAACAGAGAATCGCATGGTTTCATTTTGGCTCTGGTATGACATTAATTATATGAATCTGTGTCAGAATGAGGCCAACAAAAGCACGAGTCCCTGAGGAAGCAAAAGTCAGCAGCAGGAGGTGGAAGAGGAAAAAGGCAGGTGAGAAACAGCACCCAGCTTCCCCCGCTTCAGACCCCTGCCACAGCCGTTTGAGATTTGCTGCTGAGCAAAAGGAGGAGCTGGATCCTTCAGAGGAGACAGGAAGCAGTGAACAGGAGTAAAGTCAGAGGAGCAGAGGAAGAGGCGGTGCCCATCACAGGAGTCGGGACATTTCTATCTTTTACCTTTTCGTTTTATTCAGTCCAATTTAAAGCTTTTGCAATAAGATCAGACAGCAAACATCACAGTGATGTGCAAAAGTCTCGAGCCAGCATCACTTCTTTATATTTTGTTTCCAAGCAGTCCGGCTTTTGTATTTTTTAAAGTGCTCTTGAGCAACAGTTCTCCAGTCTTTTTTGAAGGCCTTTCAAAGTTTTTCATTGGATGCTTTTTCACTCATTTTCAGTCCTTGTACTTGACCATTTTCACAGGAATGCTTTGTTCGTTGGGCTGCGTAACACTGGTTCATCCTTTGATATTTTACAGGTTCATGATGTGCCTACACGTAATTGACAACTTGTATCTTTAGACACTTTGTTACTGCCTGTCACAAAAACACATCAATTGCTCCTGTTCTTTAAACCTGTGAGAAATATTTCTAATGTTTGACATTTTTCAAAGGGCTTTCTGTAACATCATTTTCATAATACGAAGCCCTGAATGTCTGACAGGTGACAGAGTCCCCGTTGGTAACCAGGCGACAGTGTCACATTAAAGGGCCGTTCACACAGGAAGTGACTCACTTTAAAGCATCATTGGTTGCTAGTGGAGAGTCCAAGCTCCAGTTGCCAAGGTAACCCTCTAATCTGTTTACCACTCTGTCATATATCAATCAGCAGTGCACTTCGCCCTCATTTCTAGTCGATCGCCTCAAAGATTAACTCTCGACAGACCCGCTTTGTGTCGCCAGCGGTTATATCGCTCGCATGAAGTCAGTCATCATGGGTCTGTGGAGAGGAACAACATTCTGACTCCAATTTCATTAAAAATGTAATCATGTTTATTTCAGATTGCTAAAAAAAACTTAATGGTGAAGGGTTTGAACTGTGTAGAGCCAGAAAGTCTACATCGCCCAGTCGTTGCACAGAAAAACGTTCAAAGTCTGTTTTTTAGTGTGAAATTCCACATTTTAGGATTGATTTTCCCTTCCAGGTTGCATTGCTGATTTCTCTTTTCCTGAAAGTTTCCACAAAACACAGGTGACTTCAAGTTGTGATAAATTACAGCTCATTTCATAATCATGTTTCAATAGCGATTTCTGACTCCTGTGATGAATCCACCTCGCAGCACTACGGAGCACTTTCTCTCTGTATGACACTGTAAAGGATTTAGTCAGTCAGCTGAGGCCATTAAGGACTAACACGGCAGCTTTTTAAACACCGGCAATGCTCCTGCTGACTGCAGTGAGGTCAGGTGAAGAGGAGAAACAGCTGAGAGCAGTGAGAAGAAGAAGCAGTGAGCTATGTGACTCCTACAGAGCTCAAATCATGTAGAGCTGGGTCCAAAGAGCTCAGTGTGCTTTGTGTTAATGCAGTCAGGTGACCACAAGGAGTTCATGCGTTTATGATTAATCGTGATCTTCAGCTGCGTTTTGACCCTAGAAGGCAAATAATTGAAAGCGAACCCAGGTCTGAGTGGGTGGAGCTGAGGTACCTGTGGAGGGCGGAGGTGTGAAGCAGCAGTCACACAGATCAGACCTGGGTTCCCCCGCCGGCCGATCAGACCGGCAGCAGAGGCTCGGGAAGCCAGGTGCAGATCAGAGTGGGTCAGGTGAAGAGTGACCACAATGTTTCCAGTTAAACCAGCAGTGACCTGCCCCAGCTAATTTCAGGTAAAAATCTGGGCCAGGAAGTGAGCGTAGCACCACCTGCACTAACATTACAACACATTAATAATAAAGCAGCCTGTAACTGTGCTGTACACCTGACTCTTCTCTGCGTGCACAGCAAGGTCATAAATCTGTGCTGCAGACCGTCATTATTCCTCTGGTGCTGATACACGAGTGTGCGAGCTGCAGTTTACGTGTGCAGCCATGTTAGCTGATAAACGAGCCCTCCATCCTTTCGTCCACACTCGGACGTTTCTAACGTCTGATACGATGGCACCAAAAATACTGAAGCTTCAAAATCTGGAAACAGAAGCAGATGGGTGGTGTCACAGTAGCTGATGTAGCCATGTTGCTTATTACAGATTATTATATCAACTGGAGCTTGTGCAAATGGTGTTTTTTGTGTGTTTCTAATGACAATATACACAATTTACTTATAATTTACTTTAAAAGTTTCTATTTTCCTTCCTATTGCTTCTCATAATCGTGCTTTTTTAACATTTACTCCAGAGTATATTCTAACACCTTCTCCATGTCTGCTGTGGGCCCACACGCAGAAGGCAGGACACTGCTGGCTCAGAGGAAACATCGGCAGGTTAAAGAACAGGATTAGTAATCACTTCATAAAAGGAATCATGTGATCATCGCACGCTAGCTACATAAGCTACAGCACTACTGGCACCAGTCAACACAACATCGTCACTCCACCACGCGCACTACCACTACAGGATGAGGGGGATTATAGGAATGAGTCGCATCACTACAGACTTGCCCCCCTCCCTCCCTCCTACTAACATCCACCCCCTTCAATCTTTAAAAGGACTAAAGCAACGGTGGTCCGCTTTCCCAAGGCGGCTAACTACTCGCCCAGTCGTTGCACAGGTGACGGCTCACATGTCGTTGATCTGTGGAGCCCCAGGGGCGGTTGTGGTTGAGAGGGGAGGGGTTTAAAAAAAAAAGGGGGGGGGGGGAGGGAAAAAGCAGTCGTTAATGAAAACAGAAAACTTTGGGTGGCTGAACTTGAAATGACTTCTGTTGTGAGGGGGAGATGGGAAACACACAACAGGCTTCATGGTTACACGACTGCACACATGCTGAGTGTCTCTGATCACACAGTCAGCCAGGAACACAACAGGGTGCTGTGAGTGAACGGGGCTAGCACGAAACAGCTACTGTGTGTACAAATGCAGGTCGATGGGATGAACTCTGCTCTGTGGGAATCTACTGAGCCCCTTTCAGACACCGTCAGCAGCACTCGTCACACGTCTGCTAAACTACCGTTTACTTTTAAAAACCAGGAAATCACTGTTTCAGTTAATATCAGTCAATTCATGTTAAACATCTTTTACTGAATAGTGTTGAAAATCTCAAGCCGTGTGAAACAAAATGTCCACGAAAAGCAAAAGAGTGCGTCTGAATCTGGATTAGTGACGGAGAACTGTGCATAAAATCCAGAGTTTTACAGCGACTACAACGTGCCATCATTGTTCATCACACACAATCACTAGCTCAGCCTGCTTTATAGCCTGAAGTATCTCAGTTATCAGCCACAGTGTTAGTTTATGACTCACTTCTGTTTGCTTACACACTCCATGCAAACTGCAGCTTTTAAGTGGTGCGTGTGCATTAACGCACTTTATGGATGCAAACAGTTTTAGGGAGGGCGATGCTCGTTATCTTTACTATCAATTAATACTTAATGGACACCGTTTTTTCTAGACCGATATTAAAACGTGTAACAGAGTTTGTTTACTCTGATGCAGCTGCTCAGGTGCGCTCAGAGGCTCTGGTGGTTTCCCCACTAATGTGTTTGAAGTTGAAGGTTTTGAGTGTAAGAGGCATATCTGATCAAATCAAGGCCCAGATCATGCCACAACCTGGCTCGATGAATATCTTCAGGTTCTCAGTAAACTCTGATTTATGTCCCAAACTAAACACACAGTTAAGTCAAAGGACAGCAAAAAGGACGTTCAGGCACTAAATGTAAGAGAGGCAGCTTTATCCACCTGCCACGAGGCTCTGTTTGACTCCAAAAAGCAAAAACACGAAAGCCACAGAAAGAGAAGAGAGTCATTTAACTTAAATAGCCATGCAGCTGAAACACAGTGTGCTTCTCCTTGAGCCAAATATCAAAGTAATGGAGTTGAAAGCAAAGATAAGCTTTGTTTTCATGTGCAGCTGGTTTTATGCCACAAAGCTGGGCTGTACGGCGCAGAAAAACTACATGATGACAGATGCTTTACTTTTCAACTGAAGCTTCCTCCATCATCTAAAATCAGTCATTTTTTCCCTTTTACATCAGGATACAGTCTAGTTTTATTAAATGCTTCGCACTACCAGAAGCTACTGTTGTCATGAGTTTGAGGTGTTTATGTGCTGGACTAAACCAGAGTTATGACGGTTTTGTGTTTTCTGATTAGTTTCAGCGTCGACTTCAGTTTAGTTTGTTCTGTTGAGTTTTAGTTTAGTTGCCGTTAGTCATAACGCTCAGTTTTAATTTTATGAGTGATTAAAATACTGAAGTTTAACTGTCAGGGGTAAGATTCAGCATTTTCCTTTGTTTTTTAAGTAAAATTAATAATATTAGTTCATTCTTTGTGTTTTTTGCTGCTTTTAAACTACTTTTAGTTTTTATTAACAATAACCTTGAACTAAGCGTTTTAACGGTTATTAGACTTTTTCCTTGAGGACCAAATGACAAGTTTGATGAAGGCTGTGTTGTTTATATTACAGGACGTCAATAAACTCTGTTGTCCAGTTTCTCAGACATGAGAAGCTGCCATGCCTGAGCAGCTGAGCCTTTGTCTGGCCCTTCGTGTGACTCCCACTGCGTCCAACACGAGTCACAGTAAGCGCTGAAGCTCGTGTCTGAAAGGGGCTCTGAACTGATGTGGGTGACAGTTCCCATCGAGGTCCAACATTACAGGACCAGCCTAATGCTTCTCTACGCGATGTCCCCGAAACTGCTACAGCTACCATGAAGATGGAGGTCAGACTAGTCTGTCTACGCATGTTTGGCTTCATTAGAGGTAAATCCACAACAAACAAACCCAGGAGCAGAAAAGTGCTTGAAGTAAGGAAGAGGGCAGGAAGTCTGGATGTTTTAGCCGGGAACTGCCATCAGCTTTTCACACTACACTTCATGCATCCCCCCCTCCCCTCCCCTAAGAGGCAGAGCCTAAGAGACAGGTGCAAAAAAAAAAAAAAAAAAGTGGGGGAACAGATCACGTGTGAAAGGGGCGGGGCTAGTCACCAGGGGCGGCGTGTGCTGCTTGAGCTCCTCCAGATGCTCTAATATATTCTTCTTAGTGATGATGCCCAACACAATCCTGAAACACACACCTGTTACTCAGCAGACTGCCCAAAACAACAACAACAGACAGACACAGAGAGAACACACAGCAGCAGTACACAATAAACACAACAAAAAATACAACTCAAAACTAACAAAACTAAACAAGCAAATACAACTAAAGCTATAAATGAATTCAAAGTGTAATAATAAAAGAATAACGGTTTAATTACTCATAATATGACTGATTCTTCTGTCAACAAATCCCATGAAGAGGGATTTTACACTCATCTGCCACTTTATTAGGTACACCTGTTAGACTGCTCGTGGCACTGCCATCCTGGATGTGCAGCAGACAGATGTGCAGCAACTGTGTGAACTTCTCATGTCAACATGGACGAAAATCTCGGTAATGTTTTAAACACCTTGTTGAAGCAGCTGTGAAGACGAACCTGGGTCACACCCAGTACTAGCCAGGTGTACCTAATAAAGTGTACAGTGTCTTTTGTAAGCTGTAAAAAAGATTACGTTACAGCAGAGTATCAGACAGGTGCATTAAATGACTTTAGGTTTATCCAACGCGAATGTAAGAATCATTAAGAACCAGCATTTATTAGCAGCTAATAATAATCCAACCAATGAACCTAATCCCTCTAATCTCTGTAGGATTGCTCAGTGTTTTATAAGTACTTGTTTTTCAATCATTGTGTAACGTTGTTCTTCTTCATACGTATAAAGGAGGCCTTGCTCCTTCCTTACTCTTACAGGAGTGAGTGTTCATATTTAACATTTTAAATTATGAGATAAGTGTGTGACTCTGAGCCACAAACTCAGCATTCGGACTGCTCTATGTGCTCAGTTCTTTCTGTGTTTTGCTCTGTATGACATCACTGTCTATCACTAAAACAGTCATCTCAGGAACTGAGCAAATCCCCTGCTGTTCAAACCTTCTGCTTAGGAGGGGCAGCCAATGAGAAGGAAGCTGGCTAAAGTAGCTGCCTATATTCAGGTGGATGAAGACCCAGTATCAGATAAATACAGATTATTCTGAACTATTAATCAAGCAAAGCTACTCTAGCAAATCCCAATAACAATAGAAGGAAAGATCGTAATAAATTTACATCTTTAAATCATCCTGAACCTCCTTCGTGACTGACAGTTTAGGTCTTTTCATGAGATTTGTTGACAACAACAAAAATATGAAAAATAAAAAAAAACTAGTGTCATTATTTAAGAAATAAATAAAAGGTTAATCCTAAAAAAGGTAAATGAAACAAACACTGCTGCACAGTTCCTCTCCAGTGATCATCACAGCAAATTAACACGGTCTGTCTCGTAGTTTCAACATCGCACATCTGCAAAGACCCAAACAGACCGGATCTCCTGCAGGCGTCTCCACACGTGGACGAGACTTTACGTTTAAATTAGTTTCACTGAAGGTTTCTCGCGGAGGTAAAACCTTTAACGTTCCTCCTCAGATTCAGACCACACATCAGCTCCCCTTACTGTCTATACTCCCACTGCGTGACACCTGTTATGTGTTTGTGGTTAGTTTCCGTCAGCAGCTCCGCCTCTCCTGTAAAGGAGACCGTCACTGCTCACCGGGAGGATAAAAGGAGGTGCAGCACAGCGATTAGGCCAGGCCATGCAGATTACAGCATAAATCCAGGGATCCCAGAGCTCATGCAACACCAGACAGTGTGTGTGTGTGTGTGTGTGTGTGTGTGTGTGTGTGTGTGTGTGTGTGTGTGTGTGTGCGTGCGTGTTAAGCAATCACTACATCAGAAACAACGATGTGAGGCGGATCCACCTTCAGCTCCTACAGCACCTCCTTCCTTCCGAGACACACTTACCCGTTGTGAGTAACCAGGCACTGGCGCAGACCCAGCTTCCTGAAAATGTCCACCACGATCTCCATGGGGGTGTGGTCAGTGACGGTGAAGGGGCTCATGTCCAGGATGGAGCGAAGCTTGAGGGGTCGAGGGCTGTCGGCAGGCAGCGTGGGTGCATGCTGGGTGAAGTACACCCTTGAGTTCAGCACGATGCCCTCCTGTTTGCGGCGTGCGTTCTCTGTAGAGATATGAAAAGCATTCACTTTACACCATCTTTAAACTCCAGAAGGTCACGGGGGGTTCAGGTGTTGTCTCTCCAGTCTTACCTATAGCGATTGTGATGTCTCTGCGCAGAGCGAAGCCCACTAGCCTCTGGGACTCCTTAGACACGATCACAGGGAAACCATTATAACTGGTTTCATTGATAACGCCCTGCAGCTCCTCCACAGTCAGGTCGTCCTGCGTGAGCACTGCCAACGGCGGGTCGTTGCGTCGGGGCCTCATCACCTCCCGGGCCAGCGTGGTGTGCGTGAACTCCTCCTTTGAATCCAGGAAGGGGTATCCGTTCAGTCGGATGTGGGCCTCGTAGATTCCCTCTCGACCGAATGCATCGCCCACCCATTTGCTGGTCATCACGGCGGCCATGAGGGGGACGATGTACTCCAGCCCGCCGGTCAGCTCGAACACGATGATGACGAGGGAGACAGTCATACGAGTCACTCCACCTACAGAGGGAGGAAGGCATGACAGTAACACGCATTAAACTACGACTCCAACTAAACAAGTGTTTATTTCTGTAACAGATGAGGCAAAGCTACACATCCCTGATCACATGTTACTCACAGTGAGTAACATGTTCTGACACAGCCAGTTATTGCAATAGCAGCAGGATATCTCATATATGCTCATCACCCGCCCCTCGGTGCTGAAACGTGAAGGCTTTGGCACAAACTGGTGGCAAAGCTTAACAATCCCATTAAGTGCTGACTCACCCAGGCACGCTGCAGCTCCCACCATAGCGTAGAGCCCTGGAGTGATGCAGTCAGCTCCGACTTCGCACCACTCTTTGAACAGGAACCAGTCGTGGTGATAATATGCAAGCTGCTCCATGGCAATGCCAACAATCCGCCCCGCGATCGCCCCGATGGCCATGCTGGGGATGAACAAACCCGACGGCACCTAACGATGAGAAAGGAACATGTTTCAGTGCTGATGAAGACTCGCAGGGCAAAACATCTGCTTCATTATTAAGGAAAAAATCTCTCACCTTGAGTCCAAATGTGAATATAGTCATGATGATTTTAAAGATGAGCGCCAGGCACAGCTGCCACATGGCCGAGTAGACGCCGGGCCCCGCCGGCTGGTCATCAGAGAAGGCTTTGGTGCCGTTCATCTGGCTGCGGTACTGACAGAGCTGCGAAGACTCCAGCGGACCGCAGTCGGTGAACAGCTCCTTTATCAGCTCGCTGGTGTTCTTACGCGTGTAAGGGTTTGGGAAAGCAACCACCGCAGTGATGGCCGCCACCAGGATCACCTCCAACACCGGGTACCTGCCTACAGAGCGAGACAGAGGTTTGTGTGAAACGCCTCAAATGCAGATTAAACACTGTTGCTCTGCTTCATGGAAAGATGCTTGTATACATTTGATTTTAAGAAAAGAGGATTTTAAAATTCAGACACGGCAATGTGGACTCACTAAAATCATAAAAAGCACATGAGAGGAGAGTATCGACTGATAGAAACAGTCTTTACTCCATTTCACTTTTTTCCACCATTAAGCTCTCAGTAAAAGTTTGAAATGGTGAGGTCACCACGAGGTCACATCATACCGAAACGTGTCGACTTGCGCCGCCGGCACCAGGCGATGTTGGCTTTGATGAAGAAGGCGCCCCAGAGGCCCCCGAACACTCCCAGCAGGATGAACGGGAGGAGCTCAAACAGGTACCATGGCGTGTGGTACTCCACGTAGAACAGCACCAGGCGGCTGTTCCCAAACGGGTTAATGGAGCGAAGCACGAAGGCCGCCACCAGGGCCGCAAAGAAGGAGCGCCACAACGTCTTTAGAGGGAAATAGTAGCTCACCTGAAGGAGAGAGGAGAGCACTGGTGGATTAATACTGTTGCTGTTACCATCACATTAAAACAACACCACATAGTAACTTGTTTAAGTGCTGATGCACCTCCTCTAAGCTGAAGAGGACTCCCCCGATTGGTGCTCCAAAAGCAACAGACACCCCGGCAGCTGACGCGGCAGAGAGAACCTGAGAGCACAAAACAAACACACCTCAGCACCAGCGCCGGGCTCGTTCACACAGGCACAAACTACTAAAAACACTCGTACGTATTAAGCATTTATTACTCGTGCTACAGGGACTTGGACTTTTTTGCTCTCACCTCTCGTTTCTTGGCCTCGTTCTTGCTGTACTTGGGGAAGAGGTAGGAGAAGATGTTCCCACAGCAGCAGGCCACGTGGACCAGGGGGCCCTCTTTCCCCAGGCTCAGGCCCGACGCCACAGCCAACACCAGAGTGATGGTTTTGATCATCAAGGTCCACTTGCCCAGATATCCCCGGATGATGAACCCACTCAGGATGGTCTTGATCTATGGCAGAGGCAGGAGTGAGGAAAGCCAGGTGCTCAGGATCAGACACGTAAACACATGAAAGTTAAAATGAAATAATGACATAAATTCACTGGGTTGTTAGTTGAGCTGCATCTCTGCTTTCAGGTCATTGTCTAATACGTGCTGCTTTTGTGTTTCCATGGCAACAAAGAGCCCCCCCCCCTTTTTTTTTCTTAGCAGTAAAATATTTCACATCTCCCAGCTGAATTAATAATTTTTAAGTGCTTCAGTACATTAAAAGATCCTGAAACCCATCAGACTCTTTCACAGAGTCACCGGGAGACAAATCGATCACCCAGCGAACAGTCGAACAACATTTCCCATTTAAGGGTTCAAGGATTTCCTTCATGCACATCAATGTATCACCAGAAGAGGTTAAAATGAAGAAAGTTTCAGCTGTACCAGGACTTACAAAAGCAATGTTTTCCTCACCTCTGGGATCCCTGAGCCGCAGGCGTACGGCGCAAACACCTTAACCAGACAAACTGCCAGGAAGGCGAAGGACAGAGCCCAGTAGATGTACATGAAATAGTTCATGATGTACGAGCCGGGGCCCTGCAGAGAGGGGCGGATGAAGAGGGAGGGAAAAGTTAAAGAGTGGAAGAAAAACGTCCAAACCTTCAATAAAAAAAAAAAACAAACTCGTGTGGACGCCTGAGACTACGTCTGCCCTTATGTGTCAGTGTCACTGCAGTCAGCTCATGAGAAAAGGTGCAAAGCTTTTGCAAACTGTCTACTTTTTAATTGAAAATTTTTTTTAATGAATTTGAACAACAAGGGTTTTATTTTTGCATCGTTGCTTAGAAGCCGTAGCCTCTTGGTCTCACTGCAGTGACGAATACGTACTGCAGAAAATGTCTGGTTTTAAATCGACAGCATGCGCTCCCTTTCATGTGCCCGTGTTCCTCTACCTCAGCCTGCCCCAGTATTAGCTCAGCCCAGCTCTTCCACTGAGGACACTTGTCCCTCTCAGCGAAGGTGGTCTCATTGGACGTCCAGCAGCACTGCTCGTGGTTGAACCACAAGGCGCTCAGACACACGCCCTCCTTCAGGTCGTTCATCCAATCAGCAGCAATGTCAATCAGGCCAGCCAAAGCACCTGGCGGGAGGAGGGAACCAGGAAAAGAAAGGAAATAAAAGGGCAAAGAAGTGAAGGCAGGGACGAGTGGGAAAGGTGAAGAACAGAAAAACAGAGAGAGAGATGAGTTCCTAACTACACTACCAGGCTTACTACCTGACAAAGATGTTTTCAGCTGATTTAACAATAATTCTGAGAAACATCCTCACTGAATATGAACCTAAACGCACACTAGAAAACTCTGCAGCAAATCTTCACATTAGACGATCTTCAGCTCTCAATGCATAAATATTACAGCACAAAAATCAGTGTCTGACTTAAACAGCAAAGCTTCTTTCGGCTGCTCCTTTATTCACAAACCTTGCCACAGTGGAAAGATTCACATGTTTGATCTGACAGATGTTTAATGCCTGATACCTGGATATCCTGATACTGGGATCTGTGTCTCCTCCTGTTCTCTAACCAGTGACCTTTGGCATGTAAGGGGACTGTGTGGCTGACATTTTCATATCAGATGGATCTTTGTAAACATCACAGGCTCGCTGACCTTCACGTGACTGAGTGCAGCCACATTTCTAGATTTCTACATATTATTACCATCATTTTATCCGCCTACTTCTCCCACAACCTGTCAGTTTTTTGGGGAGAGTGGGGAAAAGGCCTGTTGGTGTGATAAAGACAATGGAAAGTGGTATCTGTAATAATTATCTCATTTCAAAAGGCTGTATTTTATGAAGTAATGGACATTTTAGGCCCTAAAACAGCTCAGTCACCCCAGTTTTAAATCTATATAATGTGATATCACAGTGCAGAGCTTCTTTTACACAAAGAGCCCAACAGGCATACTCATTTTCACTCATTTCTCCCCTCTGTAGCCTGGACCTTTTCATAACTACTCCACTTTGACTAGCTCAGCTAGAAAAAGATTTTCTGTTATTTAGTGGCCATAAAACACACACGGCGAGGATTTCATGGCTCTGAGATGTGTCACGTGGGGCTCTGCAGGAAGAACAGTGTGCTTATAAGAGGTGGGTGAGCGAAAGCACAAGACAGTGAACAAGAGAAAGACTGAGTGTGAGCTGCCTGAGGCAAAGCATGTGAGAGTCACCGGCAGGGCAGATAAGAGCTGTGTGCACTTTAGTACCACATGTGTGTTACCTGATGCCAAGCCAGTGAGCGTCACCACCAGCCAGCCGGACCAAGCGTCGTACAGGCTCTTGGTGAACTCCCATGCAGACTCCTTTTTCTTACTATTGATCTGTATCAACACACACAAAAGACTCAATAACAAGCATCGATGGCTAAAAATAAAACTATTAGATCAACTTACAGTGAGATTAATGCAAGTGAGGGAAAGGTTAACAATACCTCATCAGCCTTTTACAGCTGAGGGGTAAAAACAGTGACCTTCAGTGACAATACACCACCTCTACACTGTTGCCTCAATATAACAGTCAGCTGAGGGGCGGAGAACACCGGGTATGCAAATAACATTCAGATTGTCCTGCAGTAAAACACTTGGATAAAAGTGTTGGCAGACCCGAAATGTGCTCATGACCAACTGAAGGGCCGTAAAATCTCCCACACACTTAGCCCATGAATGCTAGTGGTGGATAAGAAGTTGATCTTTTATTTATAATTTGGAAACTGTGGTCGAGTTTGTATAAATTAAAAACATAAGACGGGATCATTTTTGTTGGAACTTCTGCTGGTAAAGTTTTGAGTTTCTCTGAGTACATAAGTGTTGTTTACCCTCTCTGTTAAGCCATCAGAGCAGTAGGTGCTGATCCTACCTGACATTTCTTTCTTTTATGTGACCCAAACAAACTGTTTCTACAACAGGAAGTGCATAACACAGTGGTGGGAAACGCATCTTTTTTTCTTTCTTTAAATTAAGTAGGGCTGTTTGTGGCCCGTGAAGAAGAATATTTTCTTTCCAAAATATTAAAAATATTTGTCTGTCTCTGGGTGGAAGCTCTGACAGGTTTTCTAATATACATACAAACTGGTTATTATATCAAAGTATAAAAATTTTTGCTCGAAGCTGAAAAGTTTTTATTTTTTGAGCTGGTTTGGCGTCGGGGTCCTCACCTTCCGGTGTCTCTCGCGGTCCTTGCACTTCTCACGGACCCAGTCGATGGTGTGAAAGTCATCGTAGGTCCCAACACCAGGGATGGGCTCCTCTAGGAAGTCCAGCAGGTGGGTGGAGCTGCTGGGAGCCCCGCCCCCGTTCGACATGGCGTAGTTAGATCCTGAAGAAAAAACAACAAGCACAAGTTCACGGTCCAATTTTTTAAAAGAAGACTATTGACATTTAAAACATATTTGAAAGAGTAAAAAACAAGAAATATGATTTTTTTCCCCCACAATGTATGAAACCAGAAGGCTGTGTGAGCAGGCTTACAGTGTTACACCATACATCAGTCTGATGACTTTTCAAACGATACATTTTGGCAGTTTATACTTCTGATTCTTACATATAATCCTTGAAAAAAAGAAAGAAAGAGATCCATCACAGTGCTGCCTCGGCTGCATTAGAGTTACACCTCCTCCATAATCGAGCCCCATCACAAGCACCGCAGAGATCACCGCACGTCCATCACTGAGATTTAATGAGACTGCTGGAAACACTGCAGCCCATCACCTCATGTGGAACAAAACCCATAACTAATCATAACAGCTTACCTCTACAAACTAGATGTAACCATTAAAGGCCATTACATTTTAAATATATTTATGTATGTTTAGGTTTGCTTTGAGGGTAAAAGCCATTTTGAATTCTGCTTCACTGGTCCACAGGCTGCAGGACCATGTGACTCCCTTCAGGCCAAATAACCACTTCTATCTTGTAAGTAATGACTTGAACATGACTTGGATTATTATCAGGAAAAATTCATTAATGATAAGCGAAACAGCAGCAAACATTGTTAGCCGAATACTATATGAACACCCATATAGTATTCAGAGATGGGCCGATCCTCTCATTCTGTGCAATGACTTTGCTCATTATGCTGGGACGAGACGCCGGCAGTCACTGGTTAGGTCTGACCTGCTCTGGCAGGACGGACATGCTCAGTATGAACACAGAACAAAACATACTGAGTCATCTGCACACAGACGCACACACATCAGGGCGAGTTGAGGGGCCGATTCTCTGCGTCTTATCTGAGAAGCATCACAGGCTTTACACGGCTGACATTTCTCTTTGCTGCCTGAGGCGGCGGCGTGATGAGAAACGATCTCTGATGTACAACAGCGACCTGTGGGAGACTTTAAAATCCCTCCACAACATCCGTATAATGCAGCAGGTTTCCTTAAGAGCGCCATTTAGTTTGTTTAACTTGGGACAAAGCCTGTTTGAGAAATCAGAGAAAAGTCCATCCTCTGACATTTAAAACTGTCAGCAAATCGAGCCCGAGCCTCCTCCTTCAGATGACACAAGTATTCATCTGAAAACAAAGACTGAACTGTGCGCAACAATCAGATTAAATGACACAACAACAAGGCCTGCAAATCCAACAAGTATAGCTCATTTCTCCTGTGTGGGGACAGTCAACAATATGAGATTAATGAACAAATACGAACATGGGTGTAATTACTGCATGTGTTAAAAACAACACCACCAAAGCAGACAGTAAGATGGCTCCAAGTCCTACCTGACCCAGCTGATAATGACGGGGACAAAAGATCCAATGTTTGTATTTTACTGTCTTTAACAGATGAGCAGCTAAACCAGGACATCTTCATAAACAAGGCTTTCAGATATTTTACTGGGACATCTAAGCAAAAAGGCTTTTTCAGATCTTCATGCTGAGCTCATTTAATACTTTGGTGCTCTCCGAGCTTCAAGATAAACACGCGGAAATACAAGATAGTCATCTTCAGAAAGTTACTCACAGGAAGTAACAAGGCTGCATGTGAGTGCAATGACACTTTCTAATATTTAGACAACTTTAAAAGACTATTTTATAAACAAACCTCACAAGTTCTGAATAGGAAACTAGAGCAGGGTCAGCACACTGTGATGAACTACTAGTAGAGCTACACTCTACTAGTACTCTACTACTAGTAGCTCAGCTTTTTGAACAAGTCTTTCTTTTTTTACTCAAGTCCAATAGAACAGAATGAGCCCCAAATGCATGTTTGGATATCTAGACAGGAACACACACACACACACACACACACACACACACACACACACACACACACACACACACACACACACACAACACACACAACACACACACACACAGCAACACACACACAAACACACACACACACACACACACACACACAGACACACACACGAGCCAATTCAGAAGCCATACTTGTCAGTATTAATTAGATGCACAGTCACCCTGACTGAAATAAAAGCGCTGCAAACATGGAAGGATAACAAAATCCCTGCAGTTCCTCTTGTGGCCACTTGAGGCCATTTCCAAAAACGAGCCAATCATGCCATGACACCACTGTTTTTGCACACAGTCCCTGAGACAAAGAGTAAAACTAAACTAAATAACTGTGTCAGAAGTTTACAACACAAATTATAATTGTTTTATTTAAGTATTTAGTAAGATATGCAAATATAATATCAGATAAATTTACCTTCAATAAAAAGAAACAGCCTACACTAGAAACAGCATTTCATTATATGGTACCCACACACAGAGAGAAGTATAAATACAGTATAAGTGCCAAACCAATCAAAACATACAACGGGGTAACTCTCATGACCTTCAGTACAGGAAACACATCAATTCCAGGCACCACAACAGAACTCCTCTTTACATTTTTAATATCTTGAGAAACTAAGAATGAACGGGGCTTATCACACAAAGGTTTGTTCATCACTGTGACCTTAAGTGGTTGGGATCATTAAAACAGATCATGAAACACATCCTCATGCTTTCCTCTGCATTCCTACACAGCCACATCATTAACTACTACTGCAGTGGGGTAACGTCAAAATCTTTCTGAGACATTAGTCCAGAGTAAAGCCCGATTCCCACAGACCTGAACGGGGCCGTAACAGAGATTCTGAAAGAGCTGCTTATTAGCTCATGTCGCTCCCTTTGAGGTTTGACAGGATGTAGGAGGAGAAGAAGCAGGGATGAAATGCTCCTGATTAGACGCTGCCTATCCTGTCCAGTGAACAGTAAGGAGTAGTGACTGTGTAAGACACTACTGCAGCTGCTGTGGAGTCAGCAGCAATAAGGAGAAGCATTACAGAGATTGTATCCGTCTCCATTTTGATTTCAGAGTGACGGTTACAGTGCGGGGATGGATTGGCTGAGTGATGGGGCGATGACTCAGTGCACAACACAAGCCTCATATGTTTGCTTTGGACAGGTCAATAAACTAGGTGCACCTATAAGGGCTCAACAAATAACAAAGGTAGAAATAAACCTTCTGTTTATGTATCGAGTTTCCTTTGACTAATCAAGGTTACATCTGCATAGTAACTACAAAAGAGTGACAAAAATCCTTCCATAATTTCAGTGGTTTTAGTTTATTGAGAACAAATTTCAATTACTTACTTTGTTTCGACACCACAAGTTGGACATCCTGTTGCTATAACAACCTCTGCTGACAGGGCTCTGCAGCATGTGCTGTTTAGCTGACATTAAATATATCAAGACAACATATTCAAATTTAAAACTCAGATTCGTAAAGGATCAAGCTCTGGAAAAAGGCCTTTACAGTTTGCAGTTTTTATTTAATGAAATGAAATGATGTCAGTTTAAGTATAATCCTAAGTTTATCTTCACCTGCCTCTTGCATCCTCAGTTGTATGTGTGGCAGAGAGGAAAACACACAGTGCATCACCAATGGACCGGCCAGAGACCGGACTGATCAGACAGCCAGCTTCATGTATGTTTGATTACGAGGCAGTCAGTTTCAGGCGAACAGTCATCACGCAGCCACATGCTAACAAGTGGTTAGCATGGAAGCTCCTCACTGTGATTGAAGATGCCATTTTGCCAGAGTAAATCAGAGGGAGACCACCTCAAAAATGAAACGATACCCTACTTAGACACTTGTATCATCCTCACGCAGCTGACACATGGACTTTTCAAAGAAGCTTACAAAGAAAAAGGCGCTAAAGCTAAAGCTATCCAGGGCTCACAGGCGGCCAGCAGCCTCGGTATGAGCAACGTATCAAAAATCGTTACAAGGATGACTGAAAAAGATTTTTAAAAAGTTGATGGCTTGTAAATACTGAACTGAAGCCTGACTCACTGTAAAAAAAACAACAACAGAATTTTGTCACAAAAAATAATTTTCTCAGAATCCTTTAGCCCTGATGTTACCCCTTAATTGAAAAAGTTATTATCCAAAATTATTATCCTGGCATCTCTGTAGATGATTCACAGCCTGACTCATGAGAGGAGTGAAAAAAAACAAACAGCCTGATTGAACAGGAAATAAAAAGACCCCAACACACAGCTGACAACTGGTTAATAAATGCTAACCACGAACACGACCACAAACAGTTTGGTTAGAGAAATGTCCAATGTTAGAACAGGTTCATCATACCACAGCCTAATGTGACCCAATTTATTTGTGTGTTGAACTCTTTTTCATGACAACGTGAAGAGCAGCACATATTACACAGAATCTAGAATCTAATCATGTCACTTCTCATTTTCATAAGAGAGAATCGAGTACACTGCACATCTAAATAGTCAAATCAGAAGTAAAGGGACTTGTATGTCACTTCCTGGACTCTAGTATCTTACCGTGAGAGTCATCTAGCGAAGTGCTCATGGATGTGGTTAACAATGTTTCCTCACATCCTTAAATTGTGCCTAACTGCGTTTCAATGTAGTCATCTAAGTCACAACCCTAACCCTCCATGCAGAAGTGGCAGCCACAGAAGCCCATAGTTGGCTCCATTTATCCTGGAGCTCAGGTTTTGCAGGTTTCCACAGCACATCGACATAACCGACACCATAAATGCTGACTACACTGGCCTCCATGTTTACGTCAGTGCACCACGTGCTGCTATTGCTCTTTTGCAGATGTGCCAGCCCATCCTTGAACCTGACAAAGGCCACATTTATAGAAAAACAAAAGAAAAAAGTGAATGCTTTACGAAAGAGACGAACTGCCTTTAATATTTTCTGCTGTCGACTGGTTTGTTGATCACAGCAGTATCTGCCTATGAATACGACGGAGGATGAAGACACGACTGCTGCTCTACACTGCAGAACCAACTGTGGCTCGATTAAGAAGGGAAACGTTTCAAAACAACAGATTTCACTGATGGAATAAACCAGACGAGCCCCTCCTGATGATGCTGCGCTTTCAGGCACTCATTAGTCCCACTGCAGGTGTGGATGGTGACGCCACGGAAAACAGAAACCAGAGGGGATTGTATGTGCGCACATTTCCAGCATCGTGCTTGGATGGTTCAGCAGACATGCAGACAATACACATGCATATTAAAAGAAGAAAAGAAAAAGAAGGCTTCAACTATGTTCCCCTGTGCATTGGCACCGCGACGCTGCGGTCCTGCATTGGAGGAAGAACGCCACGTCAGTGTGCACGGAGTCTTGCTGACAGTGGAGAACACACTTCTCTAAATGAACAGACACAGCCTTCCTGTACAACCATCACCAATGAAATGAGAAGTGACTAGAGGTTTCATGCTTCACTCCAACAACCACAGCTGTATTAATCTTCATTAGATCTACTCTACTACTGTTGAGTAATTCAAAGAAGGGTTTAGAGGCAGCTGGGTCATCAGGGTTAGACTTCTCAGCCATCATGTGATCATAAATGATCCCATTAGAGCCCGAGGACAGACAGCAGCGTGCTGTCCACACTGCTGGAGTACCATGAACCAGGCGGACAGAAAAATGGATCAAAGTCCAAAAGGTTGTGTTTACGTGCTGCTCACCAAGCTGAGACAAGGCCACAGTGTTTCAGGTCAACGACCACAAGACGATCGACTTACTATAAGTTTGTTTTGCAGTGCCTGTACTCTGCGCACTGCACCGTGTCCACTTTCACCTTTAATTCAAACTTTTCAGCAGTACAGCTAGTGTGCTTTTGACCGTAAAATTGATAGAAATTCCAGAGTAACAACATTAAACTGATGAAAGCAGAAGACATTTGCCGACTGAAGCGTGAATGCTGGGAGTAGGGGTTGCCTACTAAGCTTAAGTGTTTTGTCCCTGCTCGCTCACCATAAAAAAATCTAACAAGGCCAAAAGGAACCAACTCCTGACTCCCTGAACGCCACAGAGGAAAGATAAAGATTAGAGCGGAGAACATGTCATTAAAAAAAAAAAGATAGCCTGGCTGATTGATGTGAGTTGACATCCTGTATCTTGCCAACAGGTGTCCTCACACTCACTGCAGGAGAGACTGTGAGAGGTGCAAAGACGCACAGCAGCGCAGATGTACAAACATCCAGCTTACATGTGCACAACCAGCAGTTTCTGCAGAACGTCTGTGCACAAATTAAAATGGATGCCCGTGATGTTCTCAGGCCCGAGCTCGAGTCTTCACACCAAATCCACCCTGTGTTTATCTCATTATCTTTGGCTGACGTGCACACACTGCTGGTTAATCATCAGCAGGAGAGGCCAGAGCAGGAATGTGCCGGCTAGGTAGCTTGTTGACTGTGGAAATGGCAGCTTGTGGTCCATAAAGCAGAGGAGGCAGTCGTTTGCTCCACCTGCCATATGGATACATGCACTCGAGTGTACAAGCAGAAGGAGGTCGACCTATGTTATCGCAGCAGCGTTATAAAAGGAGGGAATCAAGAGGGAGGGGGGGAGAGAGGGAGACGTGTCGTTACCTCTTCTAGGGATCTCCTGCAGGGGGATGGTGTCACCTCCCCCGTCGTAAGGCAAATAGGGATCGGCCGCCGCGTCCTCCTCCTCCATGTTGACAGTCTAGATGAGGCTAAACTAAACCGTGCTCAGTTTCATTACGCTATGCTCGCTGCGTGTGCCATTCGCTGCTCCCGCTGCCATGTTTACCAGAGGAGGACAAATGGGGCTGTGTGAGAGAGAGAGCGCGCGTGTCTGTTTGAGCGGAAAAACGTGCCTGTGTGTGTTAGAGAGCGCGCACAGTCCTCCCTCCCTTCCTTTTCCTCCTCGCTCGCTCCTCACTGCAGCAGCTGACTGCTAGAGTTGATGATGTCATCATACACAGGGGAAGACGATCACAGGCCGGTCGGCCCTACCCGCTTTAGTTGCTAAGGGAGATCAGTGAGCCGTGCCTCTTACGGAAGAAACCATAGTGTCGGGTCACAGGGGTGTGCGTGTGTTTTACAAGCGGTGGAGTTGGTGAGCTCCAAAACGGAAAATTCCACTCTGCACTGCAGTAAGGAGGATAAAAGAAAGTTTTTACAGAGCCGTATGGAGTGAAACACATACACCATCCTTTAAAAAAGACAAAATAGCTAACTAGCAACAAATTTGACCAGAGATTTACGATTAATTAAGTTTTCTTAGCCAAAATGTCCAACTGTGAATATTTCTTGCTTTTCTTTGTATCATATGGCAGTTAATTAAATCAATTAATGATAAAAAAATAAAGTCGGACTAATATTAATTTTTTTAATAGTTTATGGCAGAGATGGGCAGTAACGCGTTACTTGTAACAAAAAACAAATAAATTGTGGCCACAAAATACTACTTCGTGCCCTCGAAATAATATAACGTGCGCCCGAAATGCTAATTTGCGTGCACGAATTGGGTATAACGTGGCAACGAATTACGCATTTGTGGCAACGAAATAGATGACGTGCGCACATCACAGTTGCGTAGAACCATAGGCATAAGAGTAGGCTAAACCCATACACCATGGACAGAGACGGTATGATTGAGTTTTATTTTAGGCTGGGAATGAGCTACAAATGAATTTTGAAAACCTGCAATGCAAGGAACCATTATTACGGAGAGACATTTAAACAGGATATTGAGAGCCACGTTGCTTTACAGACGTAATTGCTACCTAAATAATAGATTTTATTGTCAACCAACTGCAAGGGCCTGGGAAGGATCGCGGTTATCGGTCAAGTGTTTCGTGCCCACAAATTAGCATTTCGTGCGCACGTTATACCTGTTTCGTGCCCTCGAAATAGTATTTCGTGGCCAGGCGGGGAATTGAACCCTCAGCAGCGAGGACAAAACCTTCAGTGCCATCGAAATAGTACTTCGTGGGCACGTTATACCCATTTCGTGCCCACGAAGTAGTATTTTGTGGCCACAGTTTATTTATTTTTTGGACCATGTCATATCAGAGGGGCTGATGTTGTTAAACAAATTTCTTCCAGTCAGAGAATGTTGCATATAATTAATTTTTTGCTTGATGCATAAAGTTAAAAGGTTAAAACAAATAAAACAAGTTTTAAAAAGGGACCTTTCCATTTGATTACATTTTGTATGATGGATTATGCAGAAAAGTAGAATTGGGCTGAAAGATCTATCGCTTTATCACCTATTCAGGTTGTAAATCGTGTTTTTAAAAAGCAACTAAGTAATTAATTACTTTTGAAAATAAGTAATCAGTAAAGTAACGGGATTACTTTTCCCCGTTCCTGTTTAAGACTGATGTGCGTTATTTCAGGAAAATCAAATCCCCATTAGATCTGCCTAGTCTCTGCAGGGAGGACTAAAACGGCCAAAAACCCCACATAATGACCATATATGTAACAGTATAGAGGTCAAGGGATGACATGCAAATGGCCAGGCAGGGAATTGAACCCTCAGCAGCGAGGACAAAAACTTCAGTGCAAAGCTCCTTCAAATCCGAAAGGCAAACAAGCACTGTGACACATTAAACAGTGGACGTAAACAAAGACAGAAAAGTAAATGCTAGCAACATTTTTGAAGGCTAGTGAAATTGAGCTAGTTAGCGTATATCTGCTGCCTTGTGACCAGCAGTAGAGCTATGGTTACACCAATGTAAAACACATTAGCACAGGAAGGATGTAGGATGTGGGTTAGACTGTTCTCAGTAAACATTCATGTTTAGCCAAGAGTTGAGCTCACCCACAGCACAAGGTTAGTCATTAATATGTTGCTGTTTAGTTTGAGTCACTAACATCCACGTTGAAATCTTACTCCACAACAGACTGATTCATTTCTGAAGTGCATCAATATTTGCTGTCCGTGACACTGTGAAGTTGTAAAACCTCACTTGAAGACGCACTACACATGAAGAATGCCAATAAAAGCCAATAAAAAGCATTTTGAAAAGCCTAGAGCCTCAGCCAGCACAGTACACCTCTACTTACATCCTAAAATGATAAAGAAAACTTTCCACACCAGTTTTTATCTGAAATCTCTGTCAGTCCATGGATGGAAAGAAAGAAAGCAGAATGTAGTAGTTGGGCACTGATGTGCTGTCTTGCCTTTAGCATCCAAGAAGAAAATGAAACATTTATGAGGGTTGCAAAAGAAACTGAATCCTGAATAAAAACCAAAAACAAAGCGTCAACCACGTCAGAACAGCAGACACAGACCAAAACAAACAAAAACAAAAATCACCCGAGATATTATCTGGACATCCCAGAACTTAGGCACTATGACTCAACATTACTGGTTAAACATCTCCAAAATAACTGAAAACAATGTCACGGGTAAAATCCAAAAAGAATCAGTCCCTATGTTTCAAAGATGTTTTGTAAACTCGGTGTAATCACGTGTTATTATATGAAACCAAAACCAGACTCAGTTCCCTCTTTTTTGGTTTCAGGCTTAACATGTGTTATTCTAGGATTTCACAAATTGAAATCCTTTTACCTTCACGCCCCCTTACCTTTTGTCACGCCGCGTTATCGCTGCTCAGCAGTGGCACAGGTGATATCAGCCATAGTTTGTCACCTCCCTCCTTTAAAAAAGCCCTCGTCAGCACTTCAAAGCAGCAAAACCACAACAAGTCTCTCAGGTTTCCATAAAATGTGTTCCAGTAAAAGTCCAGTGCAACAAGTCTCACTCCCAACATTCCATGGGACTACCGAGTGATCCGGCTCCTTGGTCACACTGCAGTCTAAGCTCAGAGGAGGGTTTTACGGGGTTTTCTATGAACCCACCCCTCACGTAAAAATAGCACAGAGAAGCAGACACGGGCAGCACACCAACTTCAAGGAAAGGCATTCATCCAGAGATTTCCTTCGCTCGCACCAAGACTGGTTCATGGGAATGCTGTTCCACGTCTATCACACACAAAGCATGAATGACGAGTCAGGTAGGTGGAGCTCAGGCCTGTAGTAATGTGCTGCATTACAATATGGTCCAAAATATCAATGTGGAAAGGAAGCCAGTCATTAGCTGTTAATTACTGTTAGTTATTAAAGCTTTCTTAAAGGGAGAAAAGGGTTTCTCTGTCTGACTGTGTCATTAGTGTATAATTAGTGTTTTCTCTCACAGTTTTCTGTTTGTAGCAGCAGTGAGAACACAAAAGGTGACAGCTTAAGGTTAATTTATGCTTTCACCTTTTCACCACGTTCAGAGTACATCAACAGAACCTGAAGACACGGAACTTTAAGCCAAACCCTCTTATATAAACACTCAGTACCTGAAACACACCCTCTGCTACTCTCTGCACATAAAGAGACGAGACAAAGACGACAACTCTCAGAGCCATCCTCAATATTTCCACACAGGATGAATTTCAGTGACTTCAATGATCCAGCTCCATGGTTGGTATATACCCTGGATTGGTATACACCAAGCAATACCAAACAATTACTATAAAATGTACTATAAGACATTTAAGGAACTATAATACTATCAGGCCATATCTCCTAAATATTACTTTTACTACCTGCATCAAAAATACTGGGTGGGCTATTTTACGAACACTAATATACTAATATCTATAAAACATGTTCAGAATTTTATACTAATAAGCTAACATGTCAAAATGCTAAATCAGAGCAAAAACTAACATCAGTGCTGTAATTGTGTATCCGATGTCACTGTGTTCGTAGTTTTCTAACAATATATACAGTGTTGCTGTTCCAGCGCCATCACTGCAACTGTCCAATCACAACATTGTGATGTCACAGCTTTGCGGCTCAGTGAGAAACACTAAGGTGTAGCTCATGTTGAAGTGGAAGGGGTGTGCTCCATATAAAGATGGTTTCTTTTGAAGTGGAAATTTACGGCTGGAACATGCCCTCAAGTCAGATTTCCAACTTGGAGCGTCAAAGCAACCCCACTGACCCCAGCTTAACAATCCAAGATGGTGGCAGTGCACATAAACAGCAGTTAAACTGTAAACGGTGTGGTCAGTATAGCCACTGTTATGTATTTGTGACTTTGGCTAAATAAGCCACACGCAGAACTGACCAGGGTCTACCCGGGAACGTGCAGCAGTGTTTTTGAGTTACAAAGAAAAAAGGATCGAGCTGTGTTCTAGAGGTCGCTTTCAGAGCTTGACTTTGCTAAGGAGCAAAACCAACCCCCTAAATTTGCCAACATTACTTTAAGATAAAACAAAGACTATTTTATAACAATTTTTAAAAAAAAAATGCTGTAAGAAAAGCAGTTATCAATCACTATTTCGTTTTAGGCAGAAAATGAACTGCATGGTGCAGCACAGTGGTTAGCACTATCACTGCTCACAGGAACAAGTTCCTCAGTTTAAATCCACTGGCTGGGTTCACATCTTCTTCCTGTGCCTGTATTGGTTCTCTCCAGCTGGTAACTATAAATGCTTGTGCATCACTCAGCGCTGGCCCTGCGACAGAATCCCGACCGGACAGCTCGGATAAGCTCTAGCCCCTATGGATGGGTGTAAACTACACATTTATTTTTAGAAGGGGATTTGCTCTAAAATAGGTCTTTAGGTAACACATTAATTTGCCTTTCTGTTTTTGTTTTTTTACAAAAAGCCCTGCAGGCAAACTTCTCCCATGTGCAGTCTTTCAAAACTGTATATAAACATGATTTTCAGTCCCAGTGACTGAAGAAATCCTGATAACGAACAATATCAGGTTGTGTAATAGCCATGACACGTGTTAGCATGCTAAACCTACCTGCAGACATAAATCATGCTCCAAGCAATCAGCTCTACAGCTGATGCCTTTGCTGCTCCTGTTAAGATCCTGTCAGGATACTTTTGTTTCATCCAGCCAAACTTGATTTACTTATTTCTAATGATCATTACAACAAAGCCAGCCAGACTGATCTTGTTCCGTACAAGCTCCCTCTTGTCTGGTCGCCCATGCAGTTAAAAGTCATGTGTCTCTCCTCTGACTAGCCTGGTCACCCTCAGTTTCACTGTTTAATAATGAAAATGCTCAGTCAAGACTCAACATTTTACTTTACTAAAGGGAAACTCCCCTCTGAAACCTTTCAACCTTTACTTAGACTGACTCTTAGGGTATGTGTGTATGCTTGGCTACAGGTATTAGTGTTTACTTTGCAGATTTAAAGTCAGGAGAAGGAGCAGGAAAAGTGGCAGAGATGCACGGCTGCACTATTCAGTATGCAAGAAGAGCTGCAATCACCGGGACCACAGAAAAGAAAGATGACAGTCAGGATTCTGCTTTCAGCACAGGCTTACCAAAAAAAAAGAAAACAATTATTGTCGTGTACTGCATCTTCATTTTAAGCCATCTGCAATTCAAGAAATGTATCAAATAGAAACAGTTGATCCTAATTATCCTTTTATCAAAGAGGGAAAATGACCTCTGTGCTAAACAAACACTCAAAACAGGGTTGAAACTGAATGCGGTGCCTTTATCGCCTGCATAAACACACTAGCTTGCCAAAATCAGTCTTCGTTCTGCATTCAAAGAGAGACACCGCTTCAGCGCAGCGATATCCTGACTAAACACGAGCGGCTCATATTTGGAGAGCCGAGCTCGGCCGACACCTCTGACACCATCCTCAGCACGACGCGCGCTCTCTGTTTGATCAGCTGCGAGTAAGAAATTAAACGAATCAGCATATTTACTGAGACGAGGAAGAGAAAACAGGAAGCTGCGGATTGGGTGCTGATGGGGATAAGCGAGTCGGAGCACCACTGAGACGCTGACTGACTGAGAAGCGGGTGACCGCGCTGAAAAATGATAGGCATGAAGGGAATTATGAAACGTGGCAGCTTGGCACAGAGATCACATTCAGCGCTGTCTGTGATTGAAGTAATTAAGTAACTGTAACATTTGCTCCAACTTGGCAAAACACAGCCAATCAACTCGCTCTGCCACATGACAGTACTACTACCACCACCTCCGCTTAACAGCTACCTGACAGGAACGTCTGCATGTGCCAAGGGATGAAAGGAGGAGGAGAACGCACAAAAGCAGAAATGACAACATGCAACGAGGCACACTTTAGGAAACAGGAAGCAAGAACATTAAAGAGGTGATAAGGTCAAACTGATCGAGGGAAACAGCACGGCAAGATAAACAGGATGCTAGACGAGGACAAACTATAAAACCTCGCAACAGAGCAACAATTACAAATAAGGTGGTATGCAGAGACAGCAACAAATGAACAAAGGAAGAAAAAAAAACTACATGGAGCTGCTGAAACTGCCTTACATATGATTACAAAACAGCTAATTAACTCAGTTTTAATTGGACGATATTGATAATCAGTTAAGTACCATGTCTGTTTTACATGTTTGCTACTTCTGTTACATTTAATTGATGAAAACTATCATATTTGGTAATACAGCTCCAGAAATTTTCATGGGTGAAAACAGGAAGAAGTTAATGGTTCTTAAAGAAAATCTAGAAAGTGAATACGAGATAAGATAAGTTAAAGTTCTTTGTCTTCAATGGTGAAAATGGAAGCAGGACAATGATGCTGGGTGGATGGTTTAAGAGAAAGTTTTTCCAGGGTTTGACATAGAGAACAGTTGATGATGATGATGAAGATGAGGGTGGCGGTGGCACAAGACAGAAGCACACACAAGCGTCAGCAGTGCGATGACTCACACCCAGAGACCAACAGAGAGCCGTGAGATGGCAACGATGGGGAAGCTCACTGAGAGTTCAAGGAAAGGAGGGTCGGGGGATTCGTGAAGGGAAGCTCAAGATGTCCAGGTTCTGACCAATCAAAGCGCTGGAAAAGAATTTCCCGTACTCCCTACCTGGGGAGGCAGCGTCCCCATCCAGCAGGTTGTCGTCCTCAGTGGTGTGGAAGTCCATGATGACGCCGGCTCCATCCAGCAGCTCCTCGTCGCTGCTGGCGCTGGCGATGCTGTTGTAGCTGTTCCTGCAGTAACCTCTGTGGTACAGCTGCTCCGACTCCATTTAGCAACGCGCCGGGACCCTGGGTGATAAGGAGGGGAGTGGTGGAGTTATACATATTGTGCTTGATTAGAGTCTACATGGTGAAGTGAGGCTATGAGGGGCACAGGTGAGCAGGGTGGTATGTTAGCAGGTAAATAGCAACGATGGACGGGCACAACAAACACATCAGAATCAAATACAGCAACGCTTGGATGGTTGATACATTCACCGAATGGTCTGTAGACCTGTGTGACTGGGGCTCGCAACTGGTCGAAGAATACCCATCATTACTTCATGACCAGTGGATGGCAAATGGTTGCAGACTGGTCTCTAGTCCAGTGTGAATGGAGACTTATTCACATGATCCTCTACTGTCACACATCCACACACGTCATGGGTCTGCAAGTACACTTTATCCCACCCCAAACAGAAAATTTTACCCTCTCTCTTTTTCATGCATCACACATGCTTTGTATCTCCATCTGTACTAACTGAATAATATAAAAACAGATAACAAGATATTACACCATTTAATCTGTTGGCGTTTTGCAGAGCGTAGCTTTGATATGATAAAACTCCAACGTGATAAACCATCTGCAGCCATTAATTTCTTTCTGCAGACGAGAGGGATGAGACATCCATTCAGCTGAAAGATGAATGCAGGCTGACAGCGGGTAATGAGAAGAGAAAAACGCACGATGATGAAGATGATGATCAGCTCGTGACCCAAAGTGAACCCTTCATGGCAATGATGTGGCAAAGCAACAAATCAGACCTGAGGCGCAGTGAGCAGAAGAAACCTCCAGCCTCTAACTCCAGAGTTCAGTCCATCAATAAATCCCAGTGTTGGGGTTATTTTTCAGACTTAAATGGGTCATTTAACCACAAAAACCCCCCAAAACCTAACAACCCTATATTATTACTTCTTCATAACGCTCGTCTAAAGTCTTTTTTCCCTTTTTGTGTAAAAGCTTTATTTTGTTTTGTATGCCCAATGTTTCAATGGTGTTTGGCATATGAATAAGAGACATTTCTTTATTTTTGTTTCTTAGCCTACTTGTTTTCTTCAGACAACACTAAAAATTTTAAATCTTAATTATTTGATACACCAAGATGGCGCCGAGTATGGCAGCCTGTCGCGAGCTCCCCCAAGCAACAGCTACACTCTTATATTGTACATTTATTACTCTCAGATGTAGCCATTCTTATATTTTGCTTGTTTTATGTTATTGTATTTTTGCACAACTCTGTTGCTTGTGAAGCTCGCACACAAGAATTTCACTCGCATGTACTGTACCAGTGTACCTGCACATGTGACGTGACAATAAAAGTGATTTGGTGATTTATCTGGCAAAGATGATGCACCAAACCGAAGGCCCTTCCACCCGCAGCGCAGCCAAGTGAAGGTTATTTATAGACTGAGGGATTAAAATGACACATGGGTATCCTCTCCACAATGAGAGCACGATTATGATAATATTCCTGCTGGGGGGAAAATTACAGAGCCTGTTCAATGCCACTGCACGCCACCTGCTCTTACATCTCGCCCCCTTGTGGAAAAGTTGGAAACTACACCTCAATACGTAACCACAAACGTGACTCAGGACCAAACCAAAAGTGATCCTGACCAGGCCCCACACACGATGACAGTGCAGCGGGTCCTGAAGATTAAAGGTGACCTTCGGCTATTAATAGAAATATGTACCCCGAAACATGATGAGCCACGCTGTAATGGGGAAAGATGGAATATCAGCAGCCTGGTGCTGAATAATGGAGGGTCTTTATTAATCAAGGATGCACAGGTGGCTCTATATTTATCCAACACGCTTGTGAAAGGAGATTTGGGCTTAAAGCAGACATTAGCTCTTCTACAGCAGCTAAACTTCCTACTCAGTCTGTGTTGTTAACTTTTTATTGAGACAAAAAAAAAAGAAAAAAGAAAAAAAAAGAGCAAGACAGAAAAGTAGCGTAGAGCTGAAACCTTCTTTCTGACCACTGCTGATTTCTCTGTGTGTGTGTGTGTGTGTGTTTTTCCCTGCTTGGATAACACTGACTGAATTATGGCCAGAAGTAAAACATGCTTAGTCAGCCCTGTAGTTCCTACGTTGCTTCACGCTAAAGTCGTTCATTTCCTGACGGGTGTTTCTCCACACAGTGCTTTTCTTCATATTACTTCCTGAAACCAGTTAAATTTAGACTTCAAGGTGCACAAAACTCTGTTTTAAGATAAAAACAGCGGGGAAGGCACCGCTATTGTTCATCTATCTTCTCTTGTCAGATTATATCTGACATAAAGTTTGAGGGTTTTCCCCCGCTCTGTTGCTTTTTCAGGATTATAAGGAAGTGTTTCTTTTCTTCATTAAGTATTGGGATACTGGAACTCACTGTGGAACTCTAGATTGACTTTTAAAATAACCATATGTCCATCAGTGATACAGATTCTGTCATTGGATCCAGATTGAATATAATAGTGTAAAAGTAGACAGGGGAAAAGGGGAATAGCGGGAGATCCAGCTTTCCACTGCAGGCCAGAGTCAAACTGGGCCTGTCACAATTAAGTGGCATCGTCCTTAAATTCGCCCCAAAAATGAAGCCCATCTTAACCTCTGCACACCGCACTGCTGAAAGTCTTTGTGTGTGAATCACAGCTGGTGGTCACAGCATGTTTTGAGGTTGTGTTAACAATGAAGGGAATTGTGTGGTTCACAGAAATAAATAATGGTAAATGGCCTGTATTTGTATAGCGCTTTACTAGTCCCTAAGGACCCCAAAGCGCTTTACACAACCAGTCATCCACCCATTCACACACACATTCACACACTGGTGATGGCAGCTACATTGTAGCCACAGCCACCCTGGGGCGCACTGACAGAGGCGAGGCTGCCGGACACTGGCGCCACCGGGCCCTCTGACCACCACCAGTAGGCAACGGGTGAAGTGTCTTGCCCAAGGACACAATGACCGAGACTGTCCAAGCCGGGGCTCGAACCGGCAACCTTCCGATTACAAGGCGAACTCCCAACTCTTGAGCCACGATCGCCCAAGACACACACACAACGGCTTTTTGAAAGAATAAATATAGATCAAATAAGTAACCTGGCTGTGTGCATATAAACAACAGAGAAATAATTAGCTGCCTCTGCAGTGAGCCTTTCATCAAGCATCTCTCTCCTATCTTGCTAGCCTTCATTCAACAGCACCATATGAGGTACTTCTCCACGCCCTGCAGCGGTGGTTGCATTGAATTTTTTGTCACATTTGGCAACTGCTTCGATGTAACTGAGGCTACGTCCACACTAGCCCGGATAGATTTGAAAACTGCGTTTTCATCTGAAAACGCTCCGCGCCCACACTGGCGTTTTCAGTTGTTTTCACAGAGTTGTGCGTCCACATTGAAACGGCCCAAACCGCTTACGTTTCAGTCCTGTGCGCATGCGCACAAGTGAGTGAGAATTAAAGAATTTGAAGAAAAGCTATCTGGAGCATGTACAAACTGATATTCATCTTTTTAGGGCAGTGTCCACACTGCGACGGGGCAGCTCCGTTTTGAAATGAATGCGTTTTCAAAACGCTGCGTTTTTCCTTGGGGAAAATGCCGTCTCAGTGTGGACAGGGGGCCAAAACGGAAAGAAAACGAGAGAAACGTGTGGACGTAGCCTGTGATGATCAACTGGTCACCCAGAGGTGGAACATGCGACACGTGGCAACCTGTTTCCAACAATCGTGGTCCGCCTCAGATTGACTTCAATCATTCTCAGACAGATTGGTGAAGGCTTGCAGGGTGAGGTTTCTGGTTTCAGGGTTTCTGCCTATGGCATTTGGCAGTTGAATCACTATCTGGCAGCACCTACCTCACGATTTGTGGAGGCATCCACGTGAATTTCTTTAATGTCATTTTCTCCATATGTACAGCAGACGGCAACAGATCTGCAATTTTCAATTATTACTCATCACAATTAATAATTGTGCACTAATACACAATTTATCATCGTCTATCCCGCTCAGTTTGCATGATAAAATGCAAACTGATCAAAATGTATCAAATACAAATGCTAAGTCATTAAATATCCCGTTCTTACCCACCCGCAGGAACCACACAAACATGTTTCTCATAACTGCCCCCCTCCCTTCAGACGCTGTTCTGTAGTGAAAATCTCTCACCTCCAACAAGCAAACGCTGACACTTGTTATGACAGCACACGACAGCCTTCTGCAAAGGCCAACGGTGGAGCTACAGAGCAGTAATCCTCACTGGAACCAGCTCCACAATGTGAGGAAAGAAGAAAAGACAAACTTTCCCCGAGCCAACAATCACACTCATTCACTGTGAGACGGGATTTCCCTTTGAGCTTTATCAAATCAGTACGGTCAGGAAATTCAATTCAGCCTATTTGCAGAAACAACCCTGAGGCAGAGATTGTTTTCTCTTCGCTGTTTGACCTCCAGTTACATAAAAACTGCCAAGATCTTGGATCCATACTCTGCCAATTCTGGCATTTAAATAAAGCGCACATCTAAGCACAGCAGGGGTGCTGACTCACGAAGCATCGCAAGCTAAGACAATAAAATGCACGTATGAGATGAACCACACTGCTGCGTCTCTTAATGATGGACAGCTTCACTTCTAACCATCGTATTTTCTTTTACTCAGCTCTGCTAGTGCCATGTGATAGCTATAATTATGACAGTCTGCAGTGTACTTGTTCAAGTTTCCCCTCTTTCTCTGCAACAGAAATCAAAACAATAATTACACCAGGGAGACCGGAGGGTGTTGATTATTTACGAGCTGCAACCGAGCAACTCAGATTGCAGCTCGCTGTTTGAGGG